TCCTAAACCTAATCCTAATCCTAAACCTAAACCTAACCCTAACCCTTAACCTAACCCTAAAGCTAACTCTAAAGCTAACCCTTACCTTAAGTTGAATCAGCTTGCTTTCAAAGCGCTATTTAAAGTGCCCTTCTTTCTCTGTGCTGGCTGTTGTCGCCCTGTTGATGACGTCAGCGACGCGGTTTAATCGGGCGCGGCTTAGTCGAGCGTGGTTTTTATGGGTCACGGTCAGTTTTCACACCTACAGATGAGACTAAAATTAACAGTCTTCTGGTTTCTAAGCCAGCACCTTAACCACTGCACAACACTGACTCTACATTTACCAAAGACACATTTAGTTCTCAACTCAGATATATGTAAAATTAGACATGACACTTATTGCTTAAATCCCGGTAATGTAATACTTAGCTGGAAAGACATATCACTGGAACAAGCCAAATCCTATGGCAAAAAATAGTTTCTTTCTCACCTCATTACAGTTAGTATAAAACAGCGGTCCCCAACCGTTGCGGCTTGGCAGTCTGACGGGGTGGGGGGGGAGCAGCTGGGCTGCGTGAGTGGCGGGCTGGTTCACAAGCACGCATCTTGCATGAGCAGCGAGCCAGTACACACACACGGCCCAGGCCACCGCTTGTACAAATTGACTTAAAAGACTGGCAAGGAGCTCAGGCAGGTGGGTGGGCCTTCCGGAGCACTGTACCAGAACGGTATCCAGTGCTCCGGGCAGGCTCCAGTACTCCCGTACCGGGGCGTACCGCCTGCAACCCACCACTGATGTGCCTCGATTAATTCATTACATATAGCTTCATACTCTAGAAATATACTCAAATCCTGGTTTTGTTTTTTTTAATTCAGATTCTTTTCTACGAAGCCGTTCAAGTTCTGATCATGAGGCCACAGCTATGATGAAAGCCCAATTCATGAGTCTCTGGGATGGTCTAGACACTGATTTTAATTGCCAAGTGAGTAGCAATTATTGTTTGTTTTGAAACAGTCATGCGATGCTTATAAAATGTACTTTTCATTGCTTAGATGATCTGTTATAGGCATTTATGAGCAAGCACCGTGGCATATAAAACATGTCAGCTTGAGAAATGGAAGCGCAAAAAGATGGTTTGTTCATTTATTATTTTTCTTTCCTTCAGGAGATCAGTGTATTCTACATAGTACTTCTTCCTTTAAACGTTTTCCACAAGAACCACCCTATGAGATTATGCTGAGAGACCATATTCTCCAAAGTCACCCATGGCTAAGAGCTAGAAGCTGGTCTCCCAGATGCCAGTCCAACATTATAAGCCTACACTATACTGTGTAACAGGAATTTGAAACTTTTTTCCAGGCTAAGAGTGCATCTGCTGCCTTACTTGATATTTTTAGTTTCGTATTCTTGCTTGGATGAGTTGTGCCCAGAAGAAAATCTTGTCTCATTCTGGTAAAACCTACCTGATTCAGTTGAGATCGATATCTCAGTAGCTTCTCCGGTTAAGCAACGTGGCATGGTTATTTTCTAACCACAAAACGGTGTGATTGGCTGAGAGTCAGAGTGAAATGAGGTAAAAGACATCCAGCCAGCTTTTCAAAGAGAAGGCGGTTGAATTGCAAACTACTTTTTAAAAATTTTTTCCACCCAATCTAATCTAGTGATAGGAAGCCTTAAATGTCAATACTTGGGTAAAAGTGAACCCATACATTTGAGAACCCTGTTTCTTTATCTCTAATCATTTCATGAGAAATGGAGGTGCACTAAAGAGTAATTTAGCTACTTTCCTTTTTCAATTGGGGAGTTTCTCTTCTAAGTGATGCCACCATATGTACGTACTCTTAAATAGCACGTAGAACAATATTATTAAATAACCTTTCTGAACGACTTCAAACAAGATGCATTTTATTCTATAGTCCAGATATTTGTCCTGTTTATTTTGTACATTGTCTTGCTACATACTGTACAGCATTAAAAAAAGGATGGTGGAAAAAAAAACACTTGAAAAATCTTTTAAAAAATAGAATAAGAATATTCTCTTTTCCATGAATGAACGAGTTAACCTACATTTCTGTGTGTGATTTTGAATTCCCTTGGTTTAAGAAATGGTATCTCAGAGTAGGATAATTTAAAAATAATAGTGACATTCTGAATATTAATATTAAGCAAAAGGATTATCTGAATAAATCTGATGTTTATCTAGACAATCCCTGGATTTGGAACTGCTTTTGTATGTCTAAAACTCTTTAAATCTAATAATTGATTATAATGGTTTGTTTGACGATGCTCAAATAAGCTTTAGTCAAATTCAGGATGGATAAAAGTTCCATTTCTGTCGCTATCAAATTAATTTGGAGGTAAAAATCTAGAGCTATGTACAATTGATCAACAGTTTCTTAAATGTGTTTTGTTTCCATATGCAGACAGTAGCAAATTACTAATTTTCAACATATTTTAGATGCAGTTGTAATCGTGTACTTTGGAATCAGCATTTATAAGCACCATTTTGTAATGCTTCTCAATTAAACGTGGGATTGTCTAGACCAGTGTTTCTCAACCTTGGTGACTTTAAGCCCTGTGGACTTCAACTCCCAGAATCCCCCAGCCAGCATAGCTGGCTGGGGAATTCTGGGAGTTGAAAGTCCACAGGACTTAAAGTCACCAAGGTTGAGAAACACTGGTCTAGATAAACATCAGATTTATTCAGATAAATTATGTCCTGATAATATTAATGGGGAAAACATTCTTCGACAAAATAGGGCCAATTGTTTGTGAGACATGGCATGTCAATATTCATGTATTTCATCAAGAATAACTCTTCCTTGTCCTACATTACATTTAGGTGATAGTGATGGGAGCTACCAATCGCCCCCAGGATCTTGACACGGCCATTATGAGAAGAATGCCTACAAGGTTTCATGTCAATCAGCCTGTAAGTTGACTAAAATGGCTCGAGACAGCCTTCTTCCTAAGGCTCAGAACTTTTGGGTGCCGAAGGCAAGACTAAAACTCGTGGTCTCCTTGTCTCTAGCCTAGTATCTTAACACTACCTCATACTAGGGTTCCAAGGTAGTTTATCACAAAGAAAAACCACAAGCAAAATAACACAAGCTACATATNTCCCCGCAGTCTGTGTCATGGATCACATTCCCCTGTAAGATACACACACACACACACACACACACCCAAGCTGGCTATAGTAATCTGAGATCCGACTTCAGCCGACAGTATGCGTGGAATGTGTACTCCCCCTCCTTTCTACCATAACAATGCGGGGAGTTGACATACTGCATTTATTTTTAATCGGCTGCTTGTACCCTCCAAAAACCCCTTTGGCTAACACGGATGTAGTCCTCGACTTAGAACCACAATTGAGCCCAAAATTTCCATTGCTAAAGCAAGACTGTTGTTCGGCGAGTTTGGCCCTGTTGTTAAGGGAGTCAGAATCAGAAATAGAGCTGGAAGGGATCTTAAAGGTCTTCTAGTCCAGCCCCCTGCTCAAGCAGGATTTGTTAAGTTTGCAACACGGGCGTTATGTAAATCTGGCTTCCCCCTAGACTTGTCTGAAGGTCATAAAAGAGAATCACGTGAGACACTGCAACCGTCGTAAGTACGAGCCAGTTGCCAAGCATCTGAATTTTGATCACATGCCCTGGAAGGGTCACAAGCGTGAGGAATGGACATAAGTTGCATTAATGAGGTGGACAGGCAGGTGAATTGTTGGCAAAGGGAGTCCTTGACTTATGCTTTGGAATTAGAACAGCACTGAAAATATACTGTATTTTTTGGAGTATAAGATGCACCTTCCCCCCCCCCTAAAAAGTGTGGAAATGTTGGTGCATCATATACATTAAGTACAGCCATTTGGGCCTCCTGAAGCCCTAACCCCGCATGCCATTTTTGCGAAAAACAGAGGCGTTTCTGCCTTCCCCCAGGCCCCAGAAGCACTCTGCGAGCTTCAGCAGGTCTGGGGGAAGGCAAAAACATTCCCTTTTTGCTAAAAGCAGCCTGTTTTCCACCCATTTTTCGCAAAGCGGGGTCGCTTTTGCCTTCCCCCAGCCCTGCTTGAAGCCTGCGGAGTGCTCCTGGGGGCCGGGGAGGACAAAAACATTTTTTTCTTACTTACCTCTTCGAAATCTTGGTGCGTCTTATACACCGGTGCGTCTTATAGTCCAAAAAATATGGTAAGTACTTTTGTTTCCACATGGAGTTCGCATCTGAAGTTTTGTGTTTAAAGTTGGAATAGAATGAAACTTTGATTTTGGGTTTTACCGATTAAATCAGAGGGTGTCAAACTCAATTTCATTGAGGGGCCGATTCAGGGCTGTGGTTGATCTTGGGCTGGGTGGGCAGTGACCAGCTTGATGTCACTCACTGAGTGGGTGTGGCCAGCTAGGTGGGTGTGGCCAGCTAGGTGGGTGTGGCCGGCTTGACGCCAGCCCCCCAAACTGCTGGCATGTTTCCTCTTCGCATTGGGTAGACCGGGCTGAAGTGACATGAGCCGGCCCCATATAATTTCCAGGACAGCCCCGTGTGCCGGATCCAACCACATCACAGGAAGGATGCAGCCCTGGAGTTTGATGCCCCTGGATTAGATTGACCGCAATAGCACTTAGACTTATATACCGCTTCACAGTGCTTCACAGCCCCCTCTAAGCGGTTTACAGAGTCAGCCTCCTGCCCTAACAATCTAGGGTCCTTGTTTTACCCACCTCGGAAGGAAGGAAGGCTGAGTCGACCTCGAGCCTGGTGAGATTCGATCTGCCAAATTGCAGGCATAGCCGGCAGGCAGCAGAAGTAGCCTGCAGTACTGCATTCTAACCCCTACGCCACCGCGGCTCATAGATCCTTATAGAAATGGCTTATTCGTATTAATATGACAAAGCAAAAGGTTGTGATTTGATGTCCTTATTTTACTGCAATGTAGAAAGTCGGAAGTCAGTGTTTCTTTTTCTGATTTACTAATCCACACGTCTCTTCCTCCCCACCGTTTTTATATTTCCTTTTGGGTTTTGCATCTTATTTTATCTTAAAATTCAGTAAAAAATGTTAAACCGAGAACAGCTCTGAAAAAAAAGTAACTTATGGCCCCTTCTCGTACGAACGACCGTCATACCACTCTGATAGTCACACAGTTTGGGGACTTGGCAAATGGCTCACATTTATGACCGGTTGCAGTGTCCTGTAGGCATGGGATCATGGTTTGTGATCCTCTCAACCAGCTTCTGACAAGCCCAGCCGATGAAGGAGGACGAATTCACTCAATGACTGTGGTAAAAATGGTCATAAGACCGGGTGCAGACATCTGACGACTTCCCCTGATGAGCACTTCACTTAGTAACCAAAATTTGGGTCCCAGTGGCAGTTGTATAAATAAATATAACTTGTATAAATAAATATAACTTGTATAAATAAATATAACTTGTATAAATAAATGTAATGTATAAATAAATGTAATGTATAAATAAATGCAGGTAGTCCTCAATTTACAACCAAACATTTAGTGACTCTTTGAATGGCACTGGAAAAAGTGAGTTCTGCCCATTTTTCACATACCTGTCATGGAATCTCCATGGTCATGTGATCAGAATTGGGGCACCTGGTAAATATTTATTTATGGCAGTCACACTGTCCCAGGGGAAGCCTGATTCGCTTAATGACCACATGTTTCACTGGACAACTGAAGTGAGTCGCTTAACAACCATGACAAAAAAGGTCATAGAATTGGGCATGACTCACTTAACAACAGAACTTCTGGTGTCAACTGTGGTCATAGGTCAGGTCCAATTGGTTAGTGTAGTGTTTCGCAATCTTTAAGATGGGTAGACTTCAATTCCCAGAATTCCCCAGCCAGCATCTTTTAAGATGGGTGGACTTCCACTCCCAGAGTTCTCCAGCCAGCGTCCTTTAAGACGGGTGGACTTCAACACCCAGAATTCCCCAGCCAGTGTCTTTTAAGATGGGAGGACTTCAACTCCCAGAATTCGCTAGCTAGCATCCTTTAAGTTGGGGGCACTTCAACTCCCAGAATTCCCTGGCCAGCATCCTTTAAGACGGGTGGACTTCAACTCCCAGAATGCCACTTTCTGCCTCTAATCTCTCTTTCCCTCCTTTCTCCAGTCATTGACGGCAGCATTCCGGAGAATGGAGAAGGCACATCGACCTGTCTTTCATCCTTTGGCAGCTGGGAAGCCCATACGCGGGGCATTGGCTCCAAACTTATGGCCCAGATGGGTTACGAGCTTGGTAAAGGTAAGTGTGGGTTGGGGGGGGAGGGATGAGGTGTACACCCCCACGGAGGGCCTGCCCTCCAATGGATACCCCAGGTGTGATTCTTCTTGTACACACACACGCCCGTCTCCCTCTTTCCCTTCCAGGCCTGGGCAAAAATTCAGAGGGTCGGATCGAGCCAGTATTAGCCGTCGTGCTCCCCAAGGGGAAGTCGCTGGACCAATGCGCGGAGATCTTGCAGAAGAAGAGGGAGGGGAAGCTGGATCCATCCAAGCCCAGGAAACGGAGGGCGAAAGGGAAGACCGCGGCCCGACTCCGCCAGCAGATCCCGAAACCCCGACGGAACGTGTTTGATTTTCTAAACGAGAAGCTGCAGAGCCAGGACTCTGGGGGGCAGCCGGGAGGGACGCTGCCTCCGCTGGAGAGGAGCAGCAAGGAGATCTACCACGCCAGCAAGAGCACCAAGAAGGCGCTGAACGTCCGCCTCTTCCAAACCGTGGAACAAATCGAGCAGACTCAGAGGGACATCCGAGGGATTCGCGAGGCCTTGGCGCGCAACGTCGGGCGGTAAGGAGCGCGCCTGCTGGGCGGGAGAGGGGTCGTTCGGCTGACCTCCGCTGATCCTGCGGCAGGGAATTAACACACGTCTCTCGGGTCTTCCCGCGTAGGATAGGCAGGCGTGCAGGGACCTGCTCCTGGCAGGACAACTGGTGGTAGTTGCCACAGATGTCTCTGCCTTTAATCAAAAGGGCCTTTAAACCCAGGTCAAACCAAGGTCCAGATTTTCCCCAACTGGCAGACTCTGCTTGTGGCTCGCTCAGATGAAGATTTTATGTGGGTTAGCCGGGTGTGGAGCTCCAGATCTGTTGGGTTAGTTCGTGATTTGGTATATCGTGCAAACTAAAGATTACCGTATTTTTTTGGACTATAAGACGCACTGCTGTATAAGATGCACCAAGATTTCGAAGCGGTAAGTTAGAAAAAAAAAGTTTTTGTCCTCCCCGGCCCCCAGGAGCACTCTGCAGCCTTCAGCAGGGCTGGAGGAAGGGGAAAACGCTTCTGTTTTCGTGGGGTGCTACAAAACGTGGGATGCTACAAAACACCATGAACGCAGCTGTATTGCCACGCACCCGAAGTTTGCTCGTTCTTGCGACCACAAAGGGACCCATCCAGGGGTGGGATTCAGCTGGTTCGGGCGAACTGGATGTTAATTTTACATCTGGTTCGCCGAATCAGTAGTTGCAAGGACTGGCTGGCCATGCCCACCCTGCCCTTTCAGGAGTCTCCACACGGCTCTGGGAGGGCAAAAAACAGGCCTTCCAGAAGTCCAGAAACGAGCCCGTTTTCGGCTTCCGGAGCTCGGGGGAAGGCCGTTTTCACACTCCCGGAGGCTCAAGAAAAGCCTCCAGAGCCTGGGGAGGACGAAAATGCCCTCCTCCCCTGCCGTGGTGCATGAGGCTGAGTAGGCCACACCCACCATGACCACGCCCACCCAGCAACCAGGGAGAGAGAACTGCTTGCTAACATTTTTCAGTCCCACCTCTGGGCCCATCCGTCAGAACTTTGAATCCCGGTCGTAAGTCCTCTTTCTTAGGTCCGTCCCACATTTGAACAGTTGTTGCAAAGTGGCCAGTCGTAACTCGAGGCCTACCTGTCCCACTCCCAATCTCTCTCTCTCTCTCTCCCTCTCACGATTTCTAGGCACACCATCGCCACCGCGAAGCTGGAAGAGAAGCTGTCGGGCGCCCACAAGAAACTGGGTGAGCTGCAGGCTTTGGAAGCGAGTCTCCAGCAGGAGCAGAAGAAAGCGGACACGCACAAAAAAATGACCGAGTTCTAGGTTTTTCTCCGTGTCACACAAAAAAAAGGATATTTCAGTTTCAAGATGGCTGCCGAGGAGCTGCTGCAGTGGAAAGCAATTCCTTTCTTCCGGCTTTCGTTTCCTCCCGTTGGACAAGCGGGCTGGATTTGAACTGGGAGCTTCAGAGAAATCTTCCCCCCAAATAATAGCCCCAGCAGATTCAGAACTGACCTGATTCAGGATGGTTTTCGGTTAGGACAGCTTTAGAACCTGTGGACTTCAACTCCCAGAATTCCTGAGCCAGCAACGCTGGCTCAGGAATCCTAGAGTTGCCTAATCCTATGTTATATTCTGCCTCTCTCTTTGATACTTGGTTTCTCCAGGATTTCTCTATGGTTGCTTGGGGACGGATGGCCTCTTTCCCCCCCCATTTTCGCAGACAGGAGCACTACTATGGAGAACGGAGAAAAAATAAAATGAGAAAAACCCTCTCTTTTTTTTTGGGTACTAACATTAATCTGTTTGACCAGCAGGAGGCGCAATGATATTCTTGCACAAAGCAGTCCTTGGGTTGTGTTCTGATCTAGGCTTCCCAAGATCATGAAGCCCACTCCTCGTCCCGATAAAACCCCTTTTATTTAGGTTAAAGGGAATTCCTCTCCAGCAAAGGCCCGGCCGACAGTCTTTCAAGAGATTTCACAACAAGAGACCTTGATCAGGCTTGGAGAGCTGCCAGGCTGATATCTTGCAAACTCCACGCTGTAGCAGCAATTACTTGGCAAGAAGTCAGGAATAGATCTTCCCCCTAATGCATTGAACTAATGGTCTCCTGCAAACTCCACTCCCCTTTCGCTCCTCTTTATTCCCTCTGGGAGGGGCCATTCACCATCCACC